GCGGTCCCGGCAGGTCCCCGGGGTGAGCACCGACCGGCGGAGGGAACCACGCAGGGGCGCACGCTTGGCACCATGACCCAGACGCCCGCCTTCGACAAGCCCAAAGTGAGCGCGGGCGGGACTCGGGGTCCGGGGGGGGTCCGGCTCCTGGTCGGGCTGGAGGGCTTAGGGGCGTCCACAGCCCGGGAGAGAACCGGGGCCCCAGCAGCCACTTCCTTCCCTCAGCTCAGGCCCTCGCTGCCTCCAGGCAGTTTAATGAGAGACAATGAAGCTGGGAGGGTCCTGAATCCCCAGGCGCCCGGGCTGGCTTCCGCGCTCTGCTTCTGCCGGTGATTTGGCCTCTCGGAGTCTCAGTTTCACTACCTGTGAAATGGGCCTCGGGGCACCGCCAGCGGCTGGGTAGCTGTGTGAGGCTAGGCAGGGGGCTTGACCCCTCGAACCTCGCCTGTAAAATGGGGCCCGGTGTCTACATCCATAGGCCCCTAAAATGCTGTGGAAACAGCTTTATACTCCAGCACTGCGATGATTTTGTGAGCCAAGGAGCTCAGGTTGTGAATGTGCCAGTCAGGAGGACCAGGCCATAGAGCGGAGGGAGGGGGTCAGGGCGCCCCTCTCTCCCTGCTAGGGGCTGAGTGGGCCTTAGGCCTTGGGTTCATTCGGGGCCGAGCCACAGCTACTGGCCTCAAGGGATAACTTTGTGGTCCCTCCTCCCACCAGCTGTGGCCTTTTGGGAAAGTCTGGGTCAGGGAGGGTCTGGGCCCACTTGAGAGGCTTTGGAGCCCTGAGATTCAGTCCACGGAGGGAAGGGGTCCAGGGGGTCTGTCCAGCAGAGTGAGTCAGCTAGCAGAGTTTGAGACTGCTGGGGGATCACAGGAAGGAGTGAGCTGTAATCAGACTCAACTTACCTCTCGGAGAAATAGGTGTAAGTGGATGGCAGATATCACAAAAGTGTTAGTAAGAATCCCATGTGTGTATGGGAATGCGGGGGGTGGGTGGGCGGGCAGCACCGGAGGAGGGAAGGCCTAGCCCCCACTGCTGCTGCCCCCACCCTAGGCTCAGCTACCCCCTGCCAGATGTTGTGAGCTGGGGAGCCCTCCTGCCGGACCCCACCCCATGCCTCTACAACTTGTCTGGATGCCGCATCGCTGGTGCTTCTTTCCTTGTGAAGTCTCTTTTGTTTTCTTTTTTAAGTGCTTTTGGATTCCCTCTGTCCTTGGGAAGGTGGTTCCCCTGATATGAATCCTGAGGCAGTAGACAAAGTCCCTAGACTGGGAGTGAACTTGGAGTTATGGAGATAAATGAGAGGCAACGCTTCTGTAGAATTTACTATATGCACCAAATCCACCCTTGCGATACTTGTAACAGCCCTGTGAGGGAGGGACTATTTTACTATTTTTGGGCCTCAGCCAGTCCTGTCTACTGAAGGCTGGCAGGTTATTTCCCCTCTGTGGGCCTCAGTTTCCACACCTGGTAAATGGGCCCCACCTGCTTGGCGGTGGGATGTCCAGAAGTTAGAAGGGGATGCTTGAGAGGGGAGGTAGAGTGTTCTCCACTGTGTAGATGAGATGTGATTAAATTTTATATTGCAAGGAGGGAACGTGGCTCAGCTGGCAGGAGAAGCAAAGAGGAGCGTGTCTCAGCCACTGCAATCAAAGCCAGCTCCCTGCCTTCCTGTGGGTGGGACAGATCCTAATGAGAACTAGTATTAGTAGCTGGAGCTAATTGTTATTGCTCTGTGCTGGGTACTGTTCTGAACACGTTATTTTCATTAATTCATTTGATTCTAGCAATGACTCTGTGAGGTCGTTGGTATCATCCCATTATACAGATGAATAGAGGCACAGAGAGATTAATGAGGCCTGAGATCACACAATGAGGAAGTAGCCAAGCTGGGGCTGAGCCCAGGCGGGCTGGCTTCAAACATCCCATAGCCAGTTTTCCTGAAACTGCCTTTGCAGAAGCCTTTGGGGTAGAGGTGCTGGGCCTCTGCGGGACAGGAGCCTCTGCTGGGCTGTTTGGCTTCTTATGCCAACCACTAGGTGAGGCCCAGCACCTGGCCAGCTTTAAGAAGGCAGAGCAAGGCTATGCTTTCTAAACTTTAATGTGTACTCAAGTCACCTTGTTAACACTGAGACACTGAACTGGGAGGCTGGGGGTGGGACTTGAGATGTTCCCTTCTAACAGGCTCACAGGTGACTGATACTCCTGGCCCACGGACCGCACTTTGAGTAGCAAGGCCCTAGGCGGCTGCCTCCCTGGGTTGATTGTGTTATTCCAACAAATGCTTTCTGAGCACCTGTTGGGCATTGGAGGAGGTATGGGGGGAGGTGGAAGGGTGGCCCTTATCAGTCTATTTCTACACGAGACAAGGCTGGAAATCCCGTGGTGCTCAGAAGTTCTTTGTCATGGAGGACAATGCTGATCACATGCCTGTTTTTGTAATAACAGTGGGTACCAGGCACCTTCCGTGATTTACATCACAGTTCTCTGGACAACTGGACAAGGTAGATCGCTTCCTCCCCCCTTTAACAGACTAGGAAAGAGACGTGAAGTGACTTCGTCCAAGGTCACACAAAATGAGCATCTCAAAGCTGTAGACCAGCAAGTGAGCTGGCCCAGGTTGGAAGAGCACAGTTTCTACACCATCCCTCCCTGATGCAGAGAACTGGGGCTAAATCTCCCACATAAATTTAAGTAGGCTCTATGCTCAGCATTTGGCTTGAACTCACAACTGAGATCAAGAGTTGGATGCTCTACCCACTGCATCAGCCAGGCGCCCCGCCCACATCATATTTACTTTCTCCTTTTTGAATGTTTACTCTGTACCAGGCACTGTTCTGCTTTGCATATATTCATTTAATGCTCAGTATCGCTTTAAGATAGGTCCTCTTCATTTCTGTAGGAGGAAATGGCTCAGAGAGGGGAGCGAACTTTCCAAAGGCACACAGCCAGAAAGCAGAGCTAGACTTGAACCCAGTTCTACCTAAAACTGAAAGAGATACTGTCAACTGCCTTGCCAATTTGCTGTTCCCACTTTGGGGGGAGGGAGTGGACTCAGAATCATTTCGGGCCTCGGATAGACTGAGGGTGGGTCCCTGCCTCGCTGTTTGTCAGCCACAAGAGCTCAGGTGGACATTTCTCTGAAACTGTTTCCTTCTCTGTAAAATGGGTTGATTAAAACCAAGATCATGAGTTCTTGGGGAAATTGTGCTGAGTGGCACTTGTGAAGTCCCTGGCTGGCTGGCAGCAGGCCCTTAAGTGCTTTTCCTCCCCACTGGGGCTGTAATGCCAACCCCCGCCCCGCAGTGTCTTTCTTACCTCTTGACTTCCTGCCACAAAGCCACTGGAAAAGCCTACTGTTAGCACGGTTTTGGGCTTTCCGTGCTTTTTGGTTACCAGAGAGCCAGCTGTTTTTGTTTTTATTTTTTATTTAAAGATTTTATTTTAGAGCAAGTGAGGGTGCATGAGTTGGGAGGGGCAGAGGGAGAAGCAGACTCCCCGCTGAGCAGGGAGCCCGTTGTAGGACTCCATCCCAGGACCCTGAGATCATGACCTGAGCCGAAGGCAGACACTTAACCAACTGAGCCACCCAGGCGCCCTGAGCCACCTGTTTTTTAAAAAGCCTCTCAAGGAGCTTGCCTTACCCATTAGAACTCATGGGCGTTTTGGAGGGAAGGGAATGAATGAGATTGGGTTTCAAGGAAGCCTTTTGTTTGACAGAGGAAGCAAGGACCAGAGAGGGGAGATGTGGTCACCCAGCGAGGTAGGGGAGGCTGACCACGTTCCTGATTCGGCATCTGACCTTGGGGTTGGCCTGGCCTAGATGGCGAGGGGCCCTGTGAGCTGGGAGGAATGTGTCTCCCTATCCAGTTGTCCTGGGGGGGTTCCCCCCTGGGGCAGGGAAGGGAGCACTGTGTCTGGCTTTGGACAGGGGAGAAGAGTAGGCCGGGGGGGGGGGGGGGCACAGTGAGTTCAAGCCTATATGTACTCAGTTTTGGGGGCAGGCTCCCTCTTACCCCTTAGGGTTCTGAGGCCCCAGAGCAGCAAGGTGAGGGAAGAAACAAGCTCTGGGGTCCTTGTGATCATGGGGGCAGAACAGTGAGTTTTCCTATCTGTACAATGGGAATCTGATTCATCCCCAGGCGTCGGTGGGGGGGAGGGGGGGCAAGCCCATGCTGGCTGCTGTGGATCCTTATCCTTGTCATGGTTCTCAATCCTGTTGAGATTTTACCAGCATTGACTCAGCTCTGATGCAGGATGAAGGGAGTGGATTGTGGCAGTTACAACCTCTGGCTTTCACTCAGACAGCTTCCGGCTGGGTACTTACTAGTCCAGACTGAGGCTGGTTCCTTAATCTCTCTGTGTCTCAGGCTCCTCACCTAGGAAATGGGGAAGGACTATGTTGCGTTCCTAGGCTGTTGCTCCACAGGATGTGCCCCTGGCTGAAGATCTGCCTTCCCTTCTCTGAAACCTCTGGGGAAGCTCCCGCAGCAATTGAGAGCTCAGTCAGGCCCCAAGACAGCAGGAGGCACCATTACTGTACCTCTGAGCTGTAGGAGCTCAGATGGGGCTGAGCGCGGAGGACTTCCTGGAGGAGGTGTGACTGAAACAATATGTCAGCCCAGGGCTGCCCTGTCTCCTGGCTTTACCCCAAAAGTCTGCTGAGAGGCCATGGCGGGCACTGACCCCTGGCACCACGCAGCTCATTGCCAAGAGCCGGGCTAGGAAGTGAGAGGCTGGCTGGCAGGGGGCACCTGCCGCTCATCCGGGTTCTGGGGGCCGGTCAAGCAACGCTGGCTACTCTGCCCTGTCTGGGTTCTCTTCCAGGCCCAAGGGTGTCGGTCAGTCCCTTCCTTGCCCCAGAGAGCGGACACAGCCCTGCTGACCTAGGACAGGGAGAGGAGAAAACCATCACTTGGTCATTTGATGTGTACTGAGCACTTTTTGCTGTGCTGGGCACGGTCCTAAACCCCGAAGACATGGCATAATGACCGCACTTTGAGGGAACTAATAGGGAGACAGCTGTGGTAAGTGAATTTAAAAAGTCAGCAGTTTGAAAACCAAACCAGATGGTGTGTTTGGGGGCGCCTGGGGAGAAGTAGTTT